AACAGGTGGGTAAAGGACTAGAAACTTGATAAAGAAGCACATTTGATCTAGTAATACATTGTTTGACAGTGTGTGGAAAACCATCCATTTTCTTACCAACCAGGAAATGTGGAAGGCAGGCTGCATTTAGTGTGCTAAAGTGGATGTGATAACTGATGTCACCATGACAACCAATTGTTTGTTTAAAGGCTTTTTTCAATAAGTCTTAATGATTCTTACTTTCCAATATATCACTGAATTCAAAACTTTCTTCAGCCAACACCTTCCCACGCCTGTCTACTTCACTGGCCTCTGTCTTCTATCTTTTTCCTTCCTAATGTAGCCTTCTCTAAATAAAGAAATGCTTTTCAAATATTATTTTTATGACCATTATTATTAACCATAGTATTCACATACATTATTCTTTTTTCTTCCCTGTGAAATTCCATCTCTTTAATCTTTCATCCTCCACTGTAAAGATTATTTCCCTCCAGGAATGCTTCCCTTAGTTTTTCACCCTTGGTTATTGACCCTTTAATGTGCTTCTTCTTCATTTCTTGCATTCATTTGCTATAGCTTGATCTGACTGTTAATTCGCTTAGTCCTGAAATAGGATATGGAGTGCAACTATTTGTATATAAATTTGTCTTTCAAATGACTTTTTTTTTAATCTTGGAAAGCCAATACATGGGGAAAAAACTTCGTAACTGTTCATGAGCTTGAATATAGCTTATCATCAGAAAATAATCTTTATCTACCCAGCTCTCTCTGTGGAGCCAGCATGAAGAAATCAGATGTTCAGCCCCTGACCTGGCCTTTTCTTACAACTCCTTTCCCAAGTATGAAGTCAGAAGATTTTCATGGCGAATGTTCAACCAAATATGTGTGTATAAGAATGAAATACAGGTCTTCTTACCTGAAAATAATTTTATAGAACACTATATCCTAGACGTTATAGCCAGCTTTCAAGTGATTATTTGCTCAAAGATACAAGAGTTTTTCAAAGGTTAATTTAGGAAGCTCATGCTTATAAAGAATTAGAATAAATGAGATTGCTCATAAGTAACATTTTCAGAAACTCGAAGTCTTTCTCATTTTAAGCCAAAATTAGCACTTCAAATTTTAAGGATTTTGAATAAAAATAACTGAAAAAATATTGTACACTTCTCCACCTTCTTAAACGGGAAATATAGGATATTTTTCCTTAGCTTTAAGACTTCGTCATCATTTTAATATTAGTGACTGTTTGAGTCTGTAATAAAATGCTCTTTTTAAGTTACTGAGGCATTATTAGTGTTTGTTCCCCTTGATAGAAAATGACCTGTGCACAATAGGCAAGGCTCAGTGCAAAGGTCATTGCTATCTTTTTTAGAATATCTGCTTCCATATATGCACATATATATGTATACATGCATTGTGTTTTTGCAGCTTCATTTATCGCCGCCTTCACTAGCCCTTCAGCTATTAGTTTTCCCATCCCAACATTTCACGTGTGAGTTTTGACATAATGTAAATTGATATACCAAGTAAACATTCTTGTTAGAATTTTTTTAAAAATAATAATAAATAGGTGTTGAGTAAGAAATAATGTAGTCTCTTTATATAAGGTAATTTTACTGCATATTTATGCCGGATGTTCAGTAACCTTTCAACTTATTTCCTGGTTGTTTGCTGGGCACTAGAAGAGTCAGGTTGTTAAAACTGAATATCGTTTTATAAACTACACTGGTCTGAGGAAGACACAGAAGAGGCAGCAGTTAAAACTTGACCAGCTCTCTGGAGCTGGGCCATCAACACGGGCCAGACTTGGTGGTGGGTACTGAGAATTAGTGCATACAGTATAGCTCAATGTATGAAAGCCAAAATCTGGAGTTCTGTTGTTACATCTATTATAGGACCTTCTTAAAAGTCGTATAGCCATTTCCTTTTGTTAAGTTCATTTCTCGTGATTATCTCTTAGATAGCTTTCAGTATTAAAAAATTGAAGAATATTGGTATTTATCTTAGAGAATGTTCTGCCCTTTTCAGTATGTAAGTGGTTTTAGTCCTTTCGCATCCACACTTCTTAAAGAAAAAATATAGTCTAATGAAGTATCGAATTTTTGTGCAGTTATTATGGATGCATGTTATAAATTAATTTTTCACCAGCCAGTTCATTCCAGTTTTCTTAAAATTCCTGATTACATCATGGAGTTTAAATATTTAAGTAGATTTCTTATTACCGTAGTATGCAACAAGCCACCTAGCCAGTCATACAGAGTTGCTCAGAAATGTCCTCAAATCATGCTCTTTGTTTTCAGTTTCTTTGCCCTAATACATACTCCTCACTTTAGCCTCTTTATGTTTACCAATGCCTGCTAATAACTGATAGTCAAGATTATTTTGTAACTGGATCCATGGAAAAGATCTATAAAAATTACTCTCACATATTATTTAATGTATAAAAGTAAAACCGTGTCAATCAGACATGTGAAAATATGTTTTATTTTCTTAATTCCTTTAGATGTCTTTGTTCGTATACTTTATTTCAGTTTGCATGTGGTGCATTTCCTGTTAGATTCTTGGCATTTCATCTCTGAGATCATGTCCGCTATTTCTTTTCTAGCTTCGTTATCACCACCTCCACCATATTTCTTGGTGGAACTTGATAACTTGCTCTACATTCATAAAGCAATTCCTTAACTTTTACCAGCTAATAACAGAATGTGTCTATTATAATTGATTTCCTGGAAGGAGAATACCCAGTGAGGGAAGGCGGGGGATGGCTGCCAGACAGAAAACTTCAGCCCATTGACTCAGCCTAAAGAAACACTTGGGAAAAAAAGAGAAAAGGAGCGAATCATCAGATAAAAATAGAATTCAGACTTATTTTCTTAGCCTTTTACAGACTAATCTTTTTTTCAGCTGAGATCTTCAAGGGCAGGATCATGCTATGTTTATCCCAGTGTCTACAGCACCTACCAGTGGGCCCGGCAAATAATACTCAGTACTTCTTGGTGGTAAAAAGAATGAATCCTTGACAGGAGATTGTACTCTTCCTACTTTTTCCTCAGGCCTCTCATATTGGATCTTGTTTACTATTTTGGCTCTGCAGCAATCCAACAGCCCAGGGGAGACCCAGTAGGATCTAACTTTCTTATAAAATATTTACTTTTACTAATTTTCTCAAAAAATAATAATTCCATCCCTTGATTAATTTTTTTCATTTATCCAGTTCTTACTGAGCACTTGATATATATGAGGTACTGCTCCACATGATAGCAATGCAGCAATGAACAAAATAGCATCCCTTATCATATGCCAGACACTGTCGGATACCTTGGGCTTTGTTGACAGTATCTTATTTAATGATTAAAACCTGTGTGGAGTAGATATTTTCTTCAATTTGAAAATGAAGTTTCACAGATTCAAAGCTTAATTAAATTTCCTAGGATCTCACAGCTAGGAAGTAGAAAATAGGAACAAAACAAAGTTTAACTGACTCAAAGTTTATGCTCTTAATTACTAGGCTCTGTTGCTTCTAGATCATGAATAAAGAAATGGAATTACATGAATCAGAACCTGAGCTGTAAGAATATGCCCAATAAATGTTAATAGCCTGTCATAAAGAATTTTTAAGAACCTAGTCTTTTGACCTGAGTGCATAGCAACTTATTTCCCCCAAAATTAAATCTACCACATAATGTCTTACCAGGAACGATTTGATTAAATCCTGTAAACAACTTTTTAAGAGACATCCTAAATGTGCATTTTCATACTCATTTTCATTTGTCACTATCTATGCAACCATTGTCAGCAAATATATCTATATCAGGGTACTGTGGATGGTTCTGTTATAAATAAAACAAAGCAGATCAGTTTTCATCCAGATCAATTAATAATCTTTTTATTCCTTAAAAAAATGCACTGAGTGCTGGCTATGTACCAGGCAGTTTAGTAGGATGTAAAAATAAGACAGACAAGAACATGTCTCTCCTAGACCTTATATATTGGAATCAGAGAAACAAACGAACAAGAAAATGAATTAAAAGGTAATTTCTGATGATGGTAAGTGCTATGAAAAAAATGTGAAGCATCTGTGAATGGGGTGATTGTAGGATAGGAAGGGAGAAGACCTGGCTGAAGAGATGCTGTTTGAGCTGAGCCCTGCATGGTGAGGACTCAGCCATGTAAAGATATAAGAGAAAAAAATTCAAAGGCCAAAAGCTTCATTTGTTTGAATAATAGAAAAAAAAAAGCTTTTGTGTCTGAATCAGAGCGAGGTGAGCTAGAGAGGCAAGAGATACAGTTAGAGATAGGTAGCATCCAGATCACACAGGATCTTACATGTACAACCTTATAATGCATGGTCCAAACAAAGACTTATTTAACAATTGAAGGAGATGTTCTTAATAATGATACCAGAACAATAAATATAAACCTAAAATTTTCCACTTATATGCCATGGTAAAAAAAAAAAAAAAAAAAAACCTTAGAAGGTTTTAAGCAGGAAAGTGAAATAATTTGATTTGCATTCCATAAATGATCGCTTCAGCTGCTGGTAAAGATTAACTTTTGAGATAGGAGATTAATTTTAGAGATTAATGAAGTATTCCTGACAAAAGGTGATAGTGGCGTGAATGATAGTAATAGAGCTGAAAACAAAGTCACTAGTTTGGGATATATCTCTGTAGATCGTGCAGAGAAGACATGATTTGAATGTAGAGGTGAGGGA